TTCGGTACCTGGGTGGGAGTTGGAGTTCATAAGTGACTTCGTTGATCTGCCTCTGTATCGGGAACGGACCGATGTAGCGGGGACTCAGCTTCTTACAGGGCAGGCGGAGGCGCAGATCCCGGGTGGACAGCCATACTTTCTCTCCTGGATGGTAAGTGGGAGTGGAAGTACGCCGAGCATCTGCGAAGGCCTTATGCCTCCACACTGCGCGTTGGAGATGGAGGTGAGCTGAGTCCCACACCCTCTCGCTCACTCGGAACCAGTGGTCCACAGCTGGAACCTCCGACGGTTCTCCTGTCCACAGGAAGAGCGGGGGCTGGTACCCGAGTATGCACTGAAACGGCGTGAGGCCGGTGGTGGTCTGGGTCAGGGAATTCTGTGCATACTCGGCCCAAGGGAGGAAACGGCTCCAGCTGTGTTGGTCGTCGTGACAGTATGCCCGGAGGTAACGCCCGAGTTCCTGGATCTTCCGCTCAGTCTGGCCGTTTGTCTGGGGATGGTAGCCTGAGGATAGGTTGACCGTGACCCCTAGTAGGCGGAAGAAGGCCCTCCACACACGGGAGATAAACTGCGGTCCCCTGTCGGAGACGACATCTTCGGGGACTCCAAAGTTTCGGAATACGTGGGTGAATAAGTTTTCTGCAGTGTCGAGAGCGGTGGGAAGTCCTTTGAGGGGGATTAGTTTACAGGCCTTAGAAAACCGATCTACTACGACCAAGATGCAGGTATACCCCTCTGAGTTGGGCAAGTCTGTCACAAAATCGACCCCCAGGTGAGACCAGGGTCGATGTGGGATCGGCAGGGGCACTAGCTTGCCTACGGGGAGGTGACGAGGAGTCTTGGACATGGCGCAGACTGAGCAACTGCGGACGTACCTGATGACATCCCGGGCCATACTGGGCCACCAGTACCGAGCTTGAAGGAGCGAGAGGGTCCGTTGGCTGCCTGGGTGTCCAGAGCCCGGTACATTGTGCACGGAGCCCAGAAGGGATTGTCGCTGGGAAGTGGGCACATACGTTTTCCCGTCTGGGCCTCCCGGCGGAGCAGGTTCCGTGAGAGTGGCGGCCCGAATGTCCTCGTCGATGTTCCATTGTATGGGGCTTACAATCATGGCTGGAGGGAGAATGGGTTCAGGATCGGAAGGAGTGTCTGGAGAGTGCATGCGTGAGAGGGC